GCTCAGGTCATGATCCCAGGGTCCTGGGATTGAGCCCCACATCGGGCTCCCTGCTCAGCAAGGAGCCTGCTTCTCCTCTCCCACTCCCCCTACTTGAGTTCCTTCTCTGTCTCCCTCTCTGTCAAATAAATAAATAAAATCTTTAAAAAAAAAAAAAAATTAAAAAAATAAAAAGGGTGAAAAGAATACAGGAGTTACAACAGCCACCTAATTAACTGCCATATATTTAAAGACACTTTCAAAACTTAAGAGTATGGAAAAAGATTAGAAATTTACAATGTCTAATAAGAATTCAGAAATTTATTTATATAAAAAAATCTAGGCTTCTGAATGGATTACTCGGACTAGAAAAGATCATATCTTTAAAGCTATACAATGCTTATATAAAAAATTTAAGGTTAAATGCCACTGAGAGAATATTAATTAATAGAACTTATTTTAATGGCAGGGGTATCATCTGACTGATGATCCTCATGACATCCTATCTCAAGTAACATTAATAGCAGGACCAGAATCACTAAGTTATCCAAACAAGATCCTTTAAACATATGAAACAAAACAAAACTTCTGCTTTAGCACAATGCAAACACTAAAGCCAATGCCAGGTATTTTACTGGATAATAAAATAGTATGGGGAATGGGGAATCTCCCTAGTAAAACTAATCAGTAAACAGGTTTGGCCTATCTAATTTAATAATTTATTCTAGAGCTCAAATTTCTGTTAAAAATGATTCATGATATTAAAGCACTTCAACACTATTACCATTTGGGCTTTATTGTACTATATATATATGGTAGGATACTTAGCAGCATCCCTCCAAATAGCAGCACACCCCATGTTGTGACAATCTAAACTGTTTCTAACACTGCCTAATGTCACCTGAAGGTAAGTGGGGAAAAAAGAAACTGCCCCAATTGAGAAACTACAGCCACAGAACAGTTAACTACAAAAGGAAAGAATAAAACCAAAAACTTGTAACCTATCAAGTATAGAACTATATTCCATAAATGTTTTAGTTCATATTTCAAGCAGCTAAGCTGAGGGTTGACTTTTTTTGTGTTATTTTTCATAGTCTAATCTACTATAATAATAAAAAGGATTCATCTAAAAATAAATTGTGACACAATACACATTTTCGTAACTAATAAAACCAAAACAATACTCACATGAGACACAGAATTAAAAAAAACAATCCTTTTATTCAGTCTTTTCCTTTCTTTTTATGAAGCAGGAAAAATGGTGACCAGGAACAGATAGAAGCATGTTATTTCCTTAATTTACATAATCATGACCCAGCACCATTCTACTCTGCATGCTACCTTTCTACATTATGCTTCTTCCTTCTCATTCTTATTCAGTGAGAAAAATGTCAAATAATTTCAGAATGGATTCTAACATTAAACTGTATTAACTTCTAAGAGACCTTCATTTCATTTCACTTACAGATGTTCATGCACACAAACAGCTAATACACTTATTTAAAGTTATGGCTAGGACTCTTAGATCTTATGAATATGATGTGCCCATAAAAACTCACCCTTTAAGTTTATAAAACTAAAAATATTCATAATGCTACATTTTATATACATTAAATAAGCAAATATAATCTAGAAAAAAACAAGTTCTAAAATCATAAAGTAATCCTAGGGCCATATTGTTGTTTCATTTATTCAAACATCTGCTCAATGTCTGCTGTGGACCTAAAATTGTTCTAGGGGTGTGTGTGTGTCTGTGTGTGTATGCTGGAGGAACACAGCAGTAAACAAGACAGAGTCCTTGCCCTCATACAGCTTACATTTTAATTGGGAAAAGATCATTAACAAATACATAATGTAATTTCAGGTGATATATATAAAGAAAAAATGAAAGCAGTGTACAAGATAGGCAGTGATTTAGGAAGTGAAGAAAAGCCATAGTTTAGATAAAATGGTCAGGAAATACTTCCTGAGAAGGTAACTTTTCAACAGGGCTAAATAAGAAGGGGTGAGCTGTTTCCCCATCTGTAATACAATTCTAAAGGTCATTAGGAATGAGGTTGGCTTTCTGAAGGAAGAGCAAGAAAGCTGATGTCATGAAATCAGGAAGCAAATAGGAGAGGAGTAAATAAGAGTGAAGAACTAGCTAGGCAGGAACTGGGTAGAACCTTACAGATGAGGAAAAAGTTTGGGTTTTATTCTAAATGTAAAGGGAAACTACTCAAGGGTTTTAAAAGGAAATGAGTAACGTAACATTTAACTTATGATGATCATTCTACTGTGTATAGAATATATGTAGAGAAGTCCAGAAACAGAAAGACCAACAGTAGTTTCAGACAAAAGTTGAGAAATTTTATATTACATCCAGCACAAATAACATTAAGATCTTTTGAGATTTGTTTCCAAGGCATCATTTGCTTTCAAGAGACCTCCTAACTATTAAATAATCTAGTTTTCTTCCATGATCATAAGGGTATCCTAAAGTCCCTAAATTTCAAATCCAGATTAATTTCAATTAAAAAAAAATACTAGAATACTTTAAAGATTCAAAGAGCTAGATAAGGCACACAGGTTTACTAAAATAATAAAGAATATTAAAAGAGAATAAACCTAACAGTAAGGAAAATGGGAGAGGCTACAAATGGGCCAGACATTTTACTTAGTCTCAGGGAAGCTCAAAATCAATGAAACACAGCAGAGAAAGGTCATGGCCTAGAATATGCAAGAGGGGGCTATAGGCAACCTACATAAACAACAGGAGAGCTAACTCTCAAAAAAATCAGAGGAAATTTGGACCTGTATCTCCACACAGAATTGAAAAATAAGAGCTGAAAATGGAGGAATAAGAAGAGTTCCTTCTCTAAGAAAATGAATAAGCTACCTGGTAAAGACCCAATTATCTGACATCCTCTTCATTCTGGAATTTAGGTACCAGGCCTCCCCTCCAAATCATCCCCAACAAGGTTATCATAAAGCAGTGTACGGAATTAATACACAGTATATACTAAATTATTTACTGAATGAGTAGGGACCGCCAATCAGCTCCCCTATTCCTTCATTCTAAAATGTGTATGAAGAGGGGCACATAGGTGGCTGAGCCAGTTAAGTGACTGATTCTTGATTTCAGCTCAGGTCATGATGTCAGGATTGTGAGATTGAGCTCCACACTGCCCCCCTCCCCCGGCCCCACACTGGGCTTGGGTTCCGTGCTGGGCATGGAACCTGCTTAAGATTCTCTCTCTTCCTCTCCCCCTCCCCCTCTTTCTCAAAAAAAAATTGTATGAAGAAATAATTATAAAAAAGTGATAAAAGCAGCACAGTAAAAAGATGAAAATAAAGTAATTCTAAAGAAAAAAATTATAGAACATTAAACAAGGGGATGATATTTTTTAAAAAGTTTAGAAATAAGAAAACATGAGCAACAAATATTAAGACTTCAAGAAAGGGTTAGAAGAAATTGAGGAATCCCCTGAGAATACAAAGGAAAAAAAATAGATGGAAAATGAGAGAAAATACAGAAATTCAACATATGAATTACAGAGGTTCCACAGAGAATGGAGGAAAAAAGCAGATATTATCCAAAAAGAGAACTTCCCAGTAGCAGGACAAAAAAAGACTTCAAACTGAACCAGCCCACCGCAAATGCCCAATACAAAGAATGAACAAAAGATCACTACACCTGTACATATTCTTGTGAAATTTTAAAATTCTAAACTAAAGAGAAGACCCTAAATATTTTTGCTGACAGCAGACTAATAGAGAAGAAATATAATCTTTGCACACTACTTGGTCTTGCACTGGTAAGAAGACAGACAGTTTTAATGAATATAATGGTGTTTTGTTCGTTGATTTTCACCTTTTAGAAAAATCTATAGATAAAAATGCAAAAGACTTATGGGACAGAACATAAATTTAATCAGAATAACATAGTAAAGGGAGACCCAAAAAATCTTCCCACCCAAAGTATGTCACACATAAAGTGGACAAAGGCAATCCATAGAATGGAGGAAGATACCTGTAACACATGTAACTAATATAAGATTAAGAGCCAGAACATGCAAAGAATTGGGGGGGAAAAGGGAAAGAAAAATAGACTAAAAAATATGATATACAGACAGTTCACAAAAGAGGAAATCTTAATGTCCAATGAACATTTTAAATGATGCTTAATCTTGCTAGGAATCTGGAAAACACGTATTAAGACAATAAGATGCCATTCTGTATATAGAAGATTAGCCAAATTAAAAGTCTCATAATACCAAACACTGAGGAAACTACCATTCTCATACTCTGCTGGTTGATGAGGGTGTAAACCGGTACAGGTGGAGAGCCAACCTGGCAACGACCCTTAATGCAGAATATGGACATACCCCAAGGCCCAGCAATTCCGTTTTTAAACATATTCCCTAGAGAAATCTTAAACAAATACACAAGGACATGTGTACAAAAAAGTTCACTGCTACATCCTATGTAACTGGGAAAAAACTGAAAATAACCAACATGTCCATCTTTAAGAAAGTAGATAAATTACGTATTATTCATAACAAAGAAACACTATAAAGCAATTAAAATGAATTAACTAGAGCAAAACGTATAAAAACATGTATAGAACACCAAATTTAGGACAGAGAAAGGAAAAATGGAAGAAAAACAGTACACAGGAGTTCTAATTATATGCAAAATCCTTAAGTTGGTTGATGGACAAGTGATACTATTTTCTCCACTTTTTTGTGACTAGTATTTCAAAATAAAGAGGTTCCCTGAGGAAAAAACACAGTAAAGAAGTTATGTAAAACTAATATTTATATTTATATTTATAAATATAGGTATTTTATTTATAATAATATATTATATATAATAATATATTAATAATAATATAATGATAAAATCCTACCCTGAAACCAATTCTGGAGTCCTAGTATCAAGAACTTACATCATTTCTACCCTTAAATTATAAATAGTGACTATTAAAAAAATACATACTCTGTAACTGATGTTACACTTTCCTGTCCAAAAGGTCCAACTGGATCATCCTTGAATTTATCACTTGGAAGCTGAGGTGGTAAAAACTCTACATCTTTTTTCTTTGGGACCTTGTAATACTTCCAGGCTATATTAGCTTCATCTTCTTCCAAGTTTACTGCTGTACCAACATACATTGTAGGTTCTACAGCTTCCTGGAATTGAGCTGGGAAAGACTGGGATAAACCGTCTATCCTATCTTCCATTGGTTTAGAAGGAACCAAGGGATCTGGTGTTGGCATTTGATAAAAATGTTGACTTTGAGGAGTTGAAGGTGTTTTAGTCACTCCCTCATCAACCACGTCACATGGGTGAGGACTAAGTGGAGGTGGTTGAGGTGAATTTGCCATTTCGGTGCCATGCATCTGAGGAGTCTTTGCTACATCATTAGTTCGGATGTTTGAAAATCTCACTTGACTATCTGGAGCAGAAATCACAAGTCTTTGGCTAGCTGAATCTGTATCCATGCCAACATCATCACTAACAGATATACGATGGTGAAAAGGAGTCAAGGGGCGTTTCTGTGGTTTTTCACTCTTTTCTTGTTTTTCATTGGTCTTGTGCTTAGGAAGTACTTGTTGTTGCTGACTTAAAGATGGTGCCTGTCCTTGTTGCCCAGGATTTCTCGGTTTGAGATTTTTGTGCCTAAAAAGTTAAAAGAAAGGTTTAACTTTTATCATATTGCTATTACATCAAAGTACACAAGTTAACACTATTAGACAGTCATATATTTGTTCTTTTACATATAAATCTACAAGTAAATGATTTGAATTTACAGGGAAAAAATACTTTGTTCAGCAACCTGAAGCTAAGAACTGCAGAAAGATTCGTAAGAGCCAATTATCTTCTCATTTAATAGCTATGTGACTAGATAACCAAAGATGATTTCCTTACGTAACCTAAATATTTTAGTATCTGAATAGAGATAAAATTCTAGTTATTTTAAGATAAAAAAAGTATAGAAAGATCTGAAATTCATTTATGAATGTACCTGATATTTCAGAATAATTGTTATAAATCAATGGCTTGGCTGAGCTCACAATCATCATCTACAATCCTACAGTAGCCAGCCAAAAAACTTACTCTACAGAAACAGAGTTAAATCATTCTGGATAGCACTGCAACTGTCTGATGGACCCACACAGGATCCAACCTTCCTTCTCCCAAGGCTTACCACTACAGAAAGAGAATCAGCTAACTAGAAAAGAAAATGCCTAAAAGAATTATTTTCCTCATAATGTGAAGCAATTCTGAAACTGAAAAACTTAAAACTATATACCTAAAAACCTAGTAATTTTGTTCAGAGTTTAAGATTTCTTTAAGTGTAGTAAAAATACTGTGCACCTTGAGATTTCTAAACTCAACTGACAGTGATGTATATTAACATATTTTTTTTTTAAAGATTTTATTTATTTGATAGAGAGAGACACAGCGAGAGAGGGAACACAAGCAGGAGGAGTGGGAAGAGGGAGAAGCAGGCTTCCCACTGAGCAGGGAGCCCGATGAGGGGCTCGATCCCAGGACCCCGGGACCATGACCTGAGCCGAAGGCAGACGCTTAACCGACTGAGCCACCCAGGCGCCCCTTAACATATTTTTTTAACTAAGAAACTAGGCAAAAAATGTGGAGGAATACGAAGTAAAAGCATTCAGTATTCATTAGTTTTTTAAGTTTTAAAACTTACTTTATTAATGGTTTTGTTATATCAGAGATAACCAAAAAGAGTATGAAAAAGCAACTGTAGGTACTTTTTTGAAGAACCCTCTCTATTCAGGGAATATGCTGAACATCCTTCTGTACAGAGTCTAGGACATATTATATGCACAGAGGAAAAAAGCATGGAAGTTATCAAAGAAAACTGGAATTATGTCAAAAAGACACAGGAAAAATCCACCATTAACCTGGGAACAAAATCAAAGACATTATAAGAAAAGGAAATCATAGAACAATATCCCTCAAGAATATAGATGTAAATCATTAACAAGATATTAGCAATCCAATAATATATAAAAGGATAATACATTATGACCAAATAGTATCTGTCCCAGGCATATAAGGTATAACATTCAACAAAAACATTATTCATCACGTTAACAGAATAATAGAGAAAACCATATAGTTATCTTCATAAGTACAGAAAAACATATGGCAAAATTCAACACATAATTCATTATAAAAAGACTCAAAATGCAGACTAAAACTTAATCTGATAAAGGACATCTATGAAAAACAACTAATGATACTTAATGATAAAAGACTGAATAATTTATCCCTAAAACTGGGAACAAAGTAAAAATACTAACTCAACATTTCTATTCAATAACTGTATTGAAAGTTTTAGTTTATGTAATAAGAAAAAGAAAGATTTCAAAGAAAGAAGAAAAACTGTATTTATAGTAAACATGGTAAACTTTACAATGAGGGGTCAGGCTGATCATCACCTTCTCAATCTTAACCAATAATTAAAAGTGGAACAACCAGACCTTTGTTTTCTGATGTGACACAATACAAAGCAACACAGCACCACCTATGAAGTATTCGCCTCAAAAATACTGAACCTGAGGGGTGCCTTGGTGGCTCAGTCGGTTGAGTATCTGACTCCTGATTTCAGCTCAGGTCATGATCTCAGGGTCCTCAGACTGAGCCCTGTGTCAGGCTCTGTGTGCTGGGCGTGGAGCCCACTTAAGATTCTCTCTCTCCCTCCCCCCACCCCTGCCACGGCTCACGCGTGTGCTCTCTCTCTCAAAAATAAAATTAAAAAATAAAATTAAAAAATTTTTAAAAATTGAACATGAATGCATTAAGCCTCTAGATCAGCACTGTCCAACAAAACTTTCTGTAATGACGGAAATGTTCTATAAGTGGCTACTGAGGACCTGATATGTGGCTAGTTCAACTGAGAAACTGAATTTTTAAGTGTATTTAAATCCAAATACTTTAAATAGCCACTAGTGGTTACTAACATAGATAGGACTGGACAGCACAGCTCTAGAACTAACTTCTATTTACAGAAATGCAACGGATAAAGGAAGAAATTAAATGGCACTAAAAGAACAAGTTACAATATATGACAAATTGAGAAATCCAGAATGAGGAACATTCCACAGGATAACTGACATAGCTTCTCCAACCAAGTCAATGGCATAAAAATGGGGTAGGGGATTACAAGAGAGACCCAGAAGACTTAACAACCAAATGTATACGCCCTGTCTAGATCCTTGTCAAACAAACCAACTACAAAAAGACATTTCTGAGACAAATCTGTAGAGGATATGAGATGATACTAAGAAAATACTATTCTTTTTATTAGGTGTGATAATGGAATTATAGTTATGTAAGAAAATAAGAAAATATTAATAATTTATAAAAATTAAAATATTAGAGTTGCATACTGAAGGAGTGAAATAATACTTCAGATTTGCTTTAAAAATCTTCAGCAAGGTGTGCCTGGGTGGCGCAGTCAGTTAAGCACCTGCCTTTGGCTTAGGTCATGATCTCAGGGTCCTGGGATTGTGCCTGTTCAGCAGGGAGTCTGTTTCTCCCTCTCTCTCTGCCCCTCCCTCAAAATTTTATACGTGCTCTGTCTCTTGCCCTCTCAAATAGATAAATAAAATCTCTTAAAAAAAAAAAACACTTCAGCAAGAGTACAGCATAGGGGAATGCCGAAATAAAGTATTATATCTTCATAGTATTACGGAGTAGTATAAACTTAAAAGAAACACAGACCGGGGGCGGGGGGGGCGCCTGTGTGGCTCAGTTGGTTAAGTGACTGCCTTCAGCTCAGGTCATGAACCCAAGGTCCTGGGATCGAGCCCCGCATCGAACTCTCTGCTCAGCGGGAACCCTGCTTCTCTCCCACTCCCACTCTCCAACTCCCACTCCCTCTCCCACTCCCCCTGCTTGTGTTCCCTCTCTCGCTGTCTCTCTCTCTGTGTCAATTAAATAAGTAAATAAAATCTTAAAAAAAAAGAAAAGAAACACAGAGTGGGGTCTATATGTGCTAACAGAAAAATACCCACGATTACTGTTTATCAAAATAAGCAAGTTGCAAAACAGTATACATAGCATGATTCCATTTGTATGAAAGAAAGCAGGCAGATCTATAAACATATATAGGAGAGGGAACTCAGTTTTTAATTTTATTTCATGTGCATTACTTGAATTCAAATTTAGCATTTAAAGAATTTTTAATAAAAAATTGGTCATTAAAAAACAAGCAGTAGTTTATTCCAATGTAGAATAATCCCTTCTCTGAACATCCTTTGAATACTTCCATGACAAGGCCCACATTACCTTATAAGGAAATGCATCCCATTGTTAAATAGCTCTAGTTGTTAAAAAATAAATAATTTTTTTAAAAAATTTTTATTTAAGTAATCTATCCCCAGTGTGGGGCTCAAACTCATGACCCCAAGATCAAGAGTCCCAAAAAGCCAGCTAGGCACCCTGTTAAAAAATTGTTTTTTTTTAGAATAGAAACTTCCCTTTTCTGTATCTTCCAGTCATTAGTCCTAGTTCTATTTCTAAACTTACGCTAACAATGGTATCCACAATCACACTGACTACTAGAAACTCAAAATGCGTCTAGTTCAAATTGAGATGTGCTACAAGTGTAAAATGTAAACCAGTTTTTGAAGACATGAAAAAAATAATGCCAAGTATCTCAAAATTTTATACTGATAACGTCAAAATAATCATTTTAGATAAACCAAGTTCAATAAAATGTTAAAATTTTTACAAATCTTCAATAAGAAGAGGTCTAAATGAAGCAAATTTAGTAAGTAAATATGGATGGCTGCTATATAAGAGTGCACGATCCAATTTTACCTTTCTGCATGTATGAAATTTTTCACAACAGAACAAGGTAGAATTAAAATGCAAAAAACAACAACAGAGAAAATAACTGGAGCAAGATTAAAGTGTCTAAAGGTCCTTTTATGTTCCATAAAGAAAACAGACATAAAGATTAACTTTAGATGTGACAGAAAACAAATGCAATAAATGCTTGATTCAATTTACAGAAGAGTAAAAATAGAGTATCTGACGTCTAAGCCAGCTAAAGAAAAGAAAAAAAGGATGATAGGCAACAGTAACAGCAGGATAGGGGAAGGAAAGCAAAAGAAAAAAACGGAAAAAAACAAAACAGAAGGCGGCAAGAATAAGTAGATACCATGACAGTTTTTATTCATTTATTAATTATTCAAATATTTTAGTGTCTACTACAAAAGTCCTCAAAATAGGGTTCACGGACTCTTTCAGGGGTTGTATGGGGTTCAAGCCATTATCATAATAGCATCAAGACATTATTTGCCTTTTTCATTATGTTGATATTTACAATGATGTTACAAAAGCAAGGGACAGTAAAACTGTTGGCAACCAAACATGAATCAAAACAGTGGTACTATTAGTAGTAAAACTGTGTTCTTTACCACCATATACTCAATTTTTTTTAAAGCCAGTTTCACTTAAGAATGTCCTTCAAGGGCGCCTGGGTGGCTCAGTTGGTTAAGCGACTGCCTTCGGCTCAGGTCATGATCCTGGAGTCCCTGGATCGAGTCCCGCATCGGGCTCCCTGCTCGGCAGGGAGTCTGCTTCTCCCTCTGACCCTCCCCCCTCTCATGCGTTCTCTCTCATTCTCTCTCTCT